ACTCCCTCACGTTTTGCATCATCTGCAGACTTTATCAGTGGTGATTTTATGTTTTCTTCCAGGTTGTTGATAAAGATGTTAAATAGCCACTCCATTATTTTGAACTGGGATTGATAGGCGAACAGGCCTATAATTACCTGGGTTATCCCATTTACCCTTTTAAAAAAATTGTTACAACATCAGTTTTCTTCCAGTCTTCTGGAACTTCCCCAGTGCTCTCATACTTATTGAAAATCAACATTAATGGTCCAGTGAGCTCCTCAGCCAGTTCTTTGTAAACTCTTGGATACAGGTTATCAGGACCTGCTGATTTGTTATCGCGGATTGGCCCTTTGGTTGCCAGCACCATGGTTCGTTTCAGAATGCAAGAGGACAGGGAGAGACAGATATGCAATCTCCGGCACATCTTAGGGACTGGAAAGTCCTATTAGTTTCCATCTAGTTCATGCTTGGTGCAATGTATTTTCTCTCTACTTATGTGGCTCCACGCAAACATGGATAAATTGGTCCCTGCAGAGGAGAGAAGTGTTACTGGAATGTTGGTAAATTGTACAGTCAATTGCTTGACCACTTGTTGGTTCATTATGAAATATATTCAAGAGGCCAAATAACCCACATCGGTCAGGTTTATTGCTAAAAGTCAATAATTGTCAATTAAAGGAAGAAAGGAGCTGAGATTAAGCCACACAGGGAGTCTTCCTCAGAGGTGGGAAGTGAACCTGATTCTGTGTCCTGTTCTCTAGCCACCAGACACCTCCCCCCGATGCCCACAGCTAATTTATTCACTCCAGGTGCTCTTATATCCATGAAACAAAAAATTTGCCAAGTCCGGGAACCCCCAGATGCTGCCCACAGCTCCAGTCCTGATCTCCTGTCTGACACAAACAGAAGAGAGGCTTTATCGTCACAGATGATAAAGCCCTTCATTTTCAGTTTTCACCAATTTTTACCAAAAAAATTCCCACTTTTTACAAAAGCCAGTTGTCAGAGGATCCATGGTCAAGTCACCCAAAGGCAAGAGTCAAGGGCCACTCTGTGTACTGCCTATAGTCTCTGGGGGCTGGGTAAAAGAACCCAGGCCCACCCTACTCCACCAGGTCCCAACCCAGGGCCCTTCAAAGCAGTAGGCCATGGCCTGGCGTCTGGTACCCTTACTCGCACTCCCTGGGTCACTTCCTACCCGTTTCCCGTACCTGTGTCAGTGTCATGGGTCGGTCTTGGTTTCCTCCCAGGTTTGGCTGCGGAGCCCCTTCCCCAGCAACATGAGTCATGAGCCTCGGCTCCCATGGCTTCCAGTCGCTTGGCTAGGAGGTTCGATCCCAGCCGCTTCTCAACTGCTCTCCTCCTCCGCCAGCCCAGACCCAGCAGAGCTGTTCCATTCTTAATGCCCAGCAGCGACAAGGGGGCGTAGCTTCCTGGGTCCCGAGCAGCCGTTTGACCCTTGCCCCACCAGTGCGGGGTTGTTACACCCCATCACACCAGTCTGCATTTTTCAAACCAATTTTCACCTGAATTTTGGAAGTACCAGATTTGGCTCCCTGCTCTGGAAGGAGAGACGGTGGCTTCTTCCGGAGCAGGGAGCCGGATCCAAAGTACCGGAAGGATCTGAGTGCTGGTGCACGTACTATTTCCAATCCCACACCCACCACGTTGCCAGCGTACCGATAGTGCGGATAGTTACCAGCGTCCACAGCAAACCAACGTCGGTGAACTGCTTTCCATGCTAAAACGGGTTGAAAACAAAAACCGTATCCAGCTAGAATGAAGTGAGCTGTAGCTCACGAAAGCTTATGCTCAAATACATTGGTTAGTCTCTAAGGTGCACAAGTCCTCCTTTTCTTTTTGCGGATACAGACTAACACGGCTGCTACTCTGAAACCTAGAAGATACAGGGGTTATTAAAAAGCCACACCCGGAGAAAAGAGTGATGTTTACCCAGAAAATGGCTATGTTCACATCTTGCACCAAGTTTCACCCATTTCTTTAATTTTTGTAAGAAACACCGCTAAGTTCCTGGGAAATGTTAAACGAAATAACAACTGAAAATGAAGGGCCCAAACTGTGAGTAAAATAGCGATGCTGGAAGTCACTTGTGCTCACGAGTGGTGTCACCCACATGCCCCGGCAGCGATGTTCCTTGGGATGGCTCAGCCTCTGCCCACTAGGCTCTTGTCCCTTGGTTGTCTGTTTCAAAGTTTGAATTATAGTGCTGTGAGAGAAGCCACATGGGCCCAGATCACAACCGGACCTAGGTTCCTAAACCCCAGAGTTAGGCACCTAAGTCTCAGTTTTAGGCACCACTGTGATCCACAAGCCCCCATTCGGCTGCCACCTAACCCTGTAGGTGCCTAACTCACTCAATACCTACCTTTTCCTGGTCAAAGTTCCCTCAGCACCTACCTTTCTGCCTCTCAGTATGCACACTGCTGCTTCCCTCTCGGTGTGCAGACAAGCCCCAAACTCTGCCTTACTTGCCTCCAGGGCCCGATCCAGGAGGCACAGTCAGAGCAGGGTGGTGCTATTGTCTCTCCTATAATGTGTAGCCCACCACACTCCCCTGCGGGGTGGGAGACTCCTGTTCAAATCCTTCCACTCAGGCAGAGAGGGGGATTGATGCCTACAACCTGGGTGAGGGCGGTAACCACTGGGCCAACAGTTATAAGGGGGCACCAACAACAACCCCTCCTCCAGCTGTTTGGTGCAGGCACCTAATTCATCCTGGCAAGAAACATCTTAGGCACCTAAACCACCTGATCCCAGTAGAGAGGTGCCCGGCTATGGATCGCTAGCAGAGATAGACATCTTTTGCAGCCCAGCTGGGGCGGGGCTCAGGACACACTCTTCTCCTAGACCTCTCCCACTGGCTGGCCAAGGTGGCGCCTCACCTCGTGAACTGGCTTCAGTGGAGCTCGTTGGCAGGTGCCCATCTCCCCCCATTTGTTGTCTGGGGAGCCTGGGTACCAAACTCAGCGTTGTGGGTCTCAGTGCCGTTCCTGTGACTTTCCAGGGGTCTAAAAGTTCGGTGCTGTGATCCCCAGCACTGCAATGCCTAAGACCCTTCCCAGATCCGGGCCATGACACTGGGCACAAAGATAATCACGAAACAGCATGAAGGCCTGTGACCCACCCCTGCCCAGGGAGCAGGCGTTCAAACCCTCACGAGTGACCTCTAAGGCTGGACACCCATCTTTAACCCCTTTTTCCAGAGCCCCTGGCACTGGGAGTACAGCTGTCTGCCAGTCGGGCAGGGCAGGATGGAGCCCCTGGCACAGGGGGCACAGCTGTCTGCCAGCCAGAGAAGTGGGGAGCCCCTGGCACTGCTGGCATGGCTGTATGCCAGGCAGGGCAGGATGGAGCCCCTGGCAGTGGGGACACTGCTGTCTGCCAGGCGGGGCAGGGGGGGCACAGTGGTATGCCAGGGGACAGGGCGGGGGGCACGGCTGTATGCCAGGCGGGGGAGGGCAGGGGGGCACGGCTGTATGCCAGGCAGGGCAGGATGGAGCCCCTGGCAGTGGGGACACTGCTGTCTGCCAGGCAGGGCGGGGGGGCACAGTGGTATGCCAGGGGGCAGGGTGGGGGGGCACGGCTGTATGCCAGGCGGAGCAGGGCAGGGGGGCACAGCTATATGCCAGGCAGGGCAGGGGGACACAGCTGTCTGCCAGGCAGGGCAGGGCAGGGGGGCACGGCTGTCTGCCAGGCGGGGCAGGGCAGAGGGGCACGGCTGTATGCCAGGCAGGGCAGGATGGAGCCCCTGGCAGTGGGGACACTACTGTCTGCCAGGCAGGGAGGGGGGGCACAGTGGTATGCCAGCGGGCAGGGCAGGGGGGGCACAGCTGTTTGCCAGGCGGGGCAGGGGGGCATGGCTGTATGCCAGGCAGGGCGGGGGGGGCACAGCAGTAAGCCAGGGGGGGCAGGGCAGGGGGGGCACAGCTATATGCCAGGCAGAGCAGGGGGACACAGCTGTCTGCCAGGCGGGGCAGGGCAGGGGGGCACGGCTGTTTGCCAGGCGGGGCAGGGGGGCATGGCTGTATGCCAGGCAGGGCGGGCACAGTGGTATGCCAGGGGGCAGGGCGGGGGGGCATGGCTGTATGCCAGGTGGAGCGGGGGGGCACAGCAGTAAGCCAGGTGGGGCAGGGCAGGGGGGCACAGCTATATGCCAGGCAGGGCAGGGGGCACGGCTGTCTGCCAGGTGGGGCAGGACAGGGGGGCACGGCTGTATATCAGGCAGGGCAGGATGGAGCCCCTGGCAGTGGGGACACTGCTGTCTGCCAGGCGGGGCGGGGGTGCACAGTGGTATGCCAGGGAGCAGTGCGGGGGGGCACGGATGTATGCCAGGCAGAGCATTGCAGGGGGGCACAGCTATATGCCAGGCAGAGCATTGCAGGGGGGCACAGCTATATGCCAGGCGGGGCAGGGCGGGGGGCACGGCTGTATGCCAGGCAGGGCAGGGGGGCACAGCGGTCTGCCAGGCGGGGCAGGGGGGCACAGTGGTATGCCAGGGAGCAGGGCGGGGGGGGCACAGCTGTATGCCAGGCAGAGCAGGGCAGGGGGGCACAGCTATATGCCAGGCAGGGCAGGGCAGGGGGGCACAGCGGTCTGCCAGCCGGGGCAGGGCGGGGGGCACAGCTATATGCCAGGCAGGGCAGGGGGGCACAGCGGTCTGCCAGGCAGAGCAGGGCAGGGGGGCACAGCTATATGCCAGGCAGGGCAGGGGGGCACAGCGGTCTGCCAGGCAGGGCAGGGGGGGCACAGCGGTCTGCCAGGCAGGGCAGGGCGGGGGGCACGGCTGTCTGCCAGGCGGGGCAGGGGGAGCCCCTGGCTCTGTGACCGGCCAGCGAGAGCCGCATCCACCTGCTGCCGCGCCAGGTGGGAGCGGCGGGGCCCCGCCCGGCGATTAACGCCCGGCCGCTCCAGCCCGGCCCAATGGGGGCCCGGGCCCGGGGATAAAGCCCCGCCGCGCGCCCCGGCTCCTCGCGCTCCCTCTCTCCCGCACCTGCACCATGCGGCGCGCCGCGCTCCGCCTGCTGCTCCTGGCCCTCGCCGCCGGCTGCTGCCGCTCGCTGCCCGGCACAGGTGAGCGGGCTCGGGCGGGGCTGCGGGGCGGGCAGGGCTTGGAGGCGGGGTCCCCGGTCCGGCCCCGGGGCAAGCTGGAGGGTGGGTCCGGTCCCAGCGGCGCGGGAAGCCCCTTCCTTCCCCGGCCGCGCTCCCCGAGGCGCCGCCTGGGTCGCCACCGCCTGAGCCGGGAGTTGTTCTCCCTCCAGGTGCTCGTTTCGGGGAGCTTCCCTGGCGGCTGCTGCCCGGGTCGATTAGGTGCCAGGGCTGCCTTGGCTGTGAACTCTCGGTGTCCCTTCTGGGGGAGCTTGCAGCACTTGCCTGCTTAATTGCCCTGGGCATTGACTCTGGACCCAAACTAGCTTAGTTCAGGGGCCCTGCAAGGCTCCCCTCCCTTAACAAGGCTCCTGTGTGAAAGGGAAACTATGGGGGCTCCTGTTGCCTCCTGGGGGCAGGGTTGAATGCCAGGGGCTGTTTTTCTTAGTTTGCATAGTCAGTTGTCTAAGGTGAAGGTCCCTTGAGCTGAAGTGTGATTGGGGATAATGGGAATGCACATGGCATCTGCTCCAGGATAGTCTTTTTACCAAGACCTGCAATCACAAGTGTGTGTGGAGGGGAACACCTCAAGTGTCCTAGACCAGTGGTTTTAACCTGTGGCCCATGGACCCCTGGGGGCTTGCGGACTATGTTGAAGGGGTCTCTGAAAGAGTTCAGACTGAAAACTGACTGAACAGACTTCAAGATGTGTGGCAGGTTTGTAGAAATGGTGGTGGTGCCCAGAACCTCCTCCCCCACCTGCCTAAGGCTCTGGGAGGGAGTTTGGGTGGGGGGAGGAGGTCTGGGGTGCAGGCCATGGGCTGGGGATTGGGGTACAGGAGGGGGGGGGGGGGGGGGGGGGGGGGAGGTGGGGTGAGACCATGGGCTGGGGATTGGGGTACAGGAGGGGGGCAGTGTGCAGGCTCTGGGAGGGAGTTTGGGTGCGGGGAGGAGGTCTGGGGTGCAGGCCATGGGCTGGGGATTGGGGTACAGGAGGAGGGGCAGTGTGCAGGCTCTGGGAGGGAGTTTGGGTGCGGGGAGGGGATCTGGGATGGCGTTTAGGTGCGTGCTCTGGGGTGGGTGTGTAGGAGGGAGTTTGGGGTGTGGGAGGTGGCTCAGGGCTGGGGCAGAAGATTAGGGTGCAGGGGGCTGAGGGGTTTGGGGTGCTCAAGAGGCTCAGGGATAGGGCAGGGTAAGGGCAGCCTGCCCTGCCGTTGGTGAATGTGAGGGGCACGATGACACTGGCCGCGGTTGATGCGGGGAGCTGGCAGAGCAGAGTCAGCCTGAGTTTGGGGCTTGGGGAAGTGAGCAGGTGTAGCAAGTGGAGGCTGGGGGACATTCAGGGGAGAGGTGTGTGTGGGGGGGGGCAGCGCAGCAGCAGGGCTGGGGGAGAGACCAGGCCCCAAACATTGATGGAGCCAGACCCCCGGGTCCTGAATATTGCTGGAGCCCGGGCACCACGAGTGTATATAACTCTCGGCCCCTCTATACAGACAATAGATTTCCAAAGGGGTCTGCAAATGAAGAGAGGTTGAAAACCCCTGCAGACACCATGCTCTTGCTTCATGCAATGTGAAGCCCTTGGGTATGTCCAATGCTAACAAAATGACTCTGTCCAGTGACTGCTAGCCAACAGCACAGCTGTATCTGAAGGCGGGTGTGCTGTACTGCAGAGGTTTCTCAACCTGTGGGTCTGCAGACCCATCTAGGATTTCCAAAGGGGTCCTTGCCTCCACTGGAAATTTTTTGCAGAACTGCAAATGGAGAGGCTGAGAACCACTGCTGTGGTGCACCACTTACTGAGAGTTCAAGCACTTTAGTATGGTAGGGCAAGTGGGGACCCCACCAAGCCCCTACATGCAACCCTTTAAGTTGGCTGTATGCTGCCAGAAGGAAAGAATAACTCTGCCTCTGCTTTTTTCACACCTTGCTCCTTGGGGTGGCTGCTGGAGGGAGGCTAAGTTGCATATGCCTTCCTGCTGGGATTGGTCAGTCTGACAAGGCCAGTGGGCAAAGCAGGCTCACTGGGGCGGTAACAGGGCTGTCTCAAGCCACATGCATTACCTCTGTGGTGCTGAGGCTCTAAGAAGGAGCAGCTGTCTCTAGTCAGTAACCCTAACTAGACTATATTAAAACTGGCTCTTCATGTAGCTGACCATGCATAATGGGCAGTTTAGCAGTTCCTCATTTGGCCTCTAGTGGAACACTACTAATCTTTAGAGTTGGAGGCTCCTACCTTGACCTGTTTCTATTGCTCTTGGTGTGAAATAGCATGGCAAGGTACTGAAGGCCCAATCAAACCTCTGGTGACAAAGCAGGAAAGCACAGATGCTAGCTAGAGAGGAACATTCCCAGTCACTAGTGTAGGACAGACTCTTTTGATATCTCTTGCATCCTGCTTCCAGGCTCACAAGAATCTATCCAGTCTGCCCCTTGGGCTGTTACATTTGGTATGGGGCTGATCTAGACCTGGTCCTGCAGCAGGAAGTGCTAAGTGCCCTGGGTGCCACCTTTACCAGAAGAGCATTACTCCATACTCAAGTGTATAGTGCAAATGGCAATTGACTCACTGATGCTAGTATACTCCCTCCCTCCCTCCATCCCCCACTGAGACATCATACTTGGGCATTGAACAGCTCTTGTCTTAGGAGACCCTAGCAGTCCTGACCAGACTGCTTTCTGGACTATATAATCAGAAATGAAGGAGGAGCCTTGGTTAAAGACTAATACACCATAGCATCCTAACAGTAAGGTATCAGGTGTAGACTTTTGCCTCCCCTCCCCAAGGACCAGGAATAGCTATCAGTTCTAACCTGTAACTAGCCCGTGACCAACTGGTGTCCTTGCCACTTTGCTGCCTCCTCTCAAAAATCAGTCCAGGTTGTCAATCTTCTTTAGATTCTTCCAAGGGCTGCCAAGTCTGATCTTCCTATGTGCTGCAGCAACAAATTGCTCCTGCTGGAACAAATACTTACAACTGAGTCTCTAGTTTTTGAACCTGACAGGCTGCCTACACTCTGACTCCAGCCTTGCACATCTTTCTCGGCAGGTGAAAGAAATTGTCATGCCTCGCAGCAGGCTGTGTGTGGAGAGAAATGTATTCCTTTCGTGTGGCTCTGTAATGGAGAACAAGAGTGCCCAGATGGGACTGATGAGCACTGTGGTGAGTTTTAGAGTAACAGCCGTGTTAGTCTGTATTTGCAAAAAGAAAAGGAGTACTTGTGGCACCTTAGAGACTAACCAATTTATTTGAGCACAAGCTTTTGTGAGCTACAGCTCACTTCATTGGATGCCTATGTTTTGGTTTTTTAACCAGCTCTAGTCATCAAGCAAGCAGTGGCTATCTGTGGCAAATTGGACTGCTGCAACATCATGCTAGTGGCATTAGCCTAGCAGTTAAATGCTTGGTTTCTCTTTCCTAGACTGGAAGGGTCCAGCATGCCCACAGGATAGCAGTATCGTACAATTGACAGGGCAGCAATAGTGGCTTGCCTTGCAATGTCACAGCTGTTAAAGACTTTCCTGTCTTTCCTTCCTGCTGTTCAGAAGCAGCATGTCGTGGTGACCCAAATGCATGGCAGTGTGACAATGGAGGGTGCATTTCTAGTAGCTGGCTCTGTGATGGTACCAGTGACTGCATAGATGGCTCAGATGAGAGAAACTGTGGTATGTATTGCACTAAGCTTACAATACAGATATTTAGAGGCAAAGTGTATCTAGAAATGTAGTTCCCAAATGCTCCATCAGCTGCTTGCTTTAACAGCAAAGATCTGACTACTGGATGCATGCTCGGTTGCAGCAGACCTCTAGAGCTAGAGATTAGCTGAGCTGTGGTTCCTCTCACTGAAATTCCTCCTGCAGAGTGAGGATTCTATAAATGCATGGTCAAGTATGACTGCATCTAGTGTCAGAAAAGCAGAAGGAAGGAGTCTGCTTCTTTGTCTGTCCCCCTCAATACTGGAAATCCAGACAACATTGGCTTTCTGGATGAGGGGAACCATAACCCATGTCTAACTGTGAATGGCATATCATGGTAGGCCCTTTTCCCTGCCCTGAGTGTTGGGTATTTATACCCCCAGTTAGCTTTCTGGGGAAGTGGTGGGCATCTCCACTCTGCTTGGTAGAGTGGTGCTTTAGAACCACTAGCTTTTTTGGGGGGGGTTAAGACTGCAATTGCCTCCTGAAGACCAAGAGGCTGGATTTTTTTACAAGCCATGCAACAGAGTCCTAACTTAGAGTCAAATGTGAGTGCCTGAGCTCCTTAGTATGAACAAATTTCACCTTCCATGTTGTACAAGGAATGGCTTGCTTGTAACTGGACTGTAGGCAAGACCAACTCAATGGGCAACCTGATATTTAGTGAGGGCTCTTTATTCAGGTAAATAACACTATTAAACTGCCCAGTACTATTGTATTGGGCCCTTTTCCAAGACTGACTTAGTGGGAGCCTCTTAATGAAGCAAATATCAATCCTGTAAACTTACTTCACTGGACTCCAGGGTGCTTCTTACCTGGGATGGCTGGTCTGGCACATGGCTGATTTTAAAGTGCAGGAATGTTGTTCAAACAACCCTTCCCACTGGTCTAACCTTAAGTTTCCTGGGGTTCACTTGCCGTAGGATTGTTCTTGCTTGCTGTTTTCTGGTGTCTAGTAACTAGATATTGACCTGTTGAAGAGACCACTCATGTCTCTGCCAAGCAAAACTTGAGGCTTCAGCAAGTGAAGGCTACTAGACACTAGATGCTTGAACATCAAGGTAGCGATTGGGGCTTAGAGGACAAGGGTGCCTCTTAAATCTGAGGGAAAATTGAAATGGCCAAAATCCTGCTGAAGGAGTCTTCCTCCCAACTACAGATTAGTGTCTATCAAATGATCACTTGGTCACAGAACACTGGACAGATAGGAGATTTCAACAACTTCTGCCTTATCCAGTAAGCCACTAGTCCCTTTATACCTGACCAAACCAGAATTTAGTTGGTAAACTGCTGTTATGGTAACCTGTTGTCTCTTATGATAGTCTGTAGAGACAGAAAAGTTCCATGTTGGGGGAGTTCTCAATGTATCG